GTGGTTTATAAATAATAAAATAATACCTTAGTCATTCAATTTTATTGACATTTTATTGAAAAAGTCTTTTTTTACAATATTTTTACTAATTTAATATTTGTAATCTATTATAATAAAAAAACAAGCTGTATGGTGTTATAGAACACCGAGTGGTAATGAAGTTCTTTGCGCTATTCGACAAATATTTCATTTATAAATTTTGATCAAGGTATTTTGCAAAAGATAATAATAATTTGCGTATAAATATTATCTTATTTTTTCCAATAAATTCACCATTGTTTATAAATATATGTATCAGTGATATAAAAAAAGAAGAATTTTTTCAGTTCATTACATGCCGCAGTTTATTAAATCACATGGCTTTTTTTTCATTAAAAATTAAATAACTTGAAAACTATTGATTGCAAAAAATCCACACTGGTCTCATTCTTTTCCTCGTAAAAATCTCTAAAAATCATACACACCATGTCTCGATCTCCAATGCATTGTTTTCAAGTTATTTTATAAAAAATGAGCTGTGCGAGTAGATGGATTACTTTCTCTCTCTCTCTTTCTCTGCAAACAGTGAGTCTAGAGGAAAAGAGATAGCTACTTAATGATTTTTAGTAATGAACGGTTTTTGCTACCAAGTACCTGTTCCCATAACGTCCCATAAGGATCTTCGTTCCAAAAGTAAATAAATTACAATATTACAATCAACAAAGGTTCCTGACAAAATGTAAAATAATAGAAAATTTAAAACTTAATATTTAAAAATTTATTTGAACTTCAAATAAATTTTTAGATATTTTTTACAAAAGAATAAAAAATTTATCCATTAAAAATTTCGCTATTGTTGCTCTCTAAAATTAAATTTTACTGGTTTCTCCAGTTAGCTATAATTTTACAGGGAAATTAGTTATTTCGGGCCCATTTACTAATTAAGCCTGGAAAAATCTTGAAAATTCATTCCAGGGTTATGGCTGATGATGTCACGCATTTCGTGATGTTTTATAATTATTTATCAATGTGCAGTCTCGAGTGTGTATAGTTTACCCAAAGAAATGAAATTATTTCTATGGATTCATTGATAAATATATTTTCAAGATGAACATCAAGACAAAAAGTTGTGTGTCGTCTCTGCATGTAAATATGATGAATATGAAATCACCAGAATAATCCTTAGGTTGTGAGTGACTTTTTTTTAAGATAAATAATATTCCTATTCGATAGATATTTTAAAGATGAGATAAGTTGTATTGCCATTTGATGAATAATTATGGATATTTTTAAATGAAATAAATAAGAATGAATGAATGAAATCTCTAATCATCGGATTATGTCCATGTATTGGTGCATATATGAATGTATAGATATATCTTCTTATTCACTACTCCAATTAGTCAAATTTACTCGTTCGATTGTTATTAATAGACTAATTCAACTAGTAAAGTATTATTTTACTGGTTCAACCAGTGAAATTTTACTATCTCCCATCGCGTCACTGAGCAATGCTACAAATAGTAAACATTCACTTGGAATTCATAAATAATTACTATCTTCTTTTTCTCTGGTACATCATTCATCTCCAATGCTGATAACTTTTTTTTCATCTTCAATGAAAATTTAACAGGCTAAATGTTTTCTCAATACATATTGTTTCCTTGGATACCAATTTATAAGGTCTAAAGATACAATATTCTCCCTTCCAAAGGTTCCATCAAAATCAGTGATGGTAACCAGGTATATTCATCAACCTCCTTCTGTCAAATATTTTTAGAAAAAAAATCTACTTATGCTGGCTGATAAATTCTGTATTTTATTTTATTGTAAAGACATACGTGACCAAAAACATTCTAAACATTCACATATTCACTGAATAAATTCCATAATGTTATGGTATGTATTTTAATTTAACTATAAAAATATGATTAAATTCAGGTAGCTTGATATTTCTTTCCATTCACAATGTATGATGCATAAATTGTGTTTAGTGAGTTTTTATCAAGTTACGTTGTGCGAATTTAAAATGATGAAATCAAGAAATAGCACATTCAGACACAGATCCTGCCATCTCTGAAACCACTGGCCAACTTTTACTTCAGCTTATCAGAGAAAAAGTCTTGACTAGCAATTGACATAGAACAGTTCATCCAATTCTATCAACTCAGATACATGCACTTGATGATATTTATTTAATTATTATTAATAAATAATTAATAAATTAATTCGATGAATAAGGACGTTGAATAGAAGATTGGGAATTAATCTAAAAAAATTTCTCGAGATTACAAAATGTTTTATGATTCTTAAAAATGAAGAGAAGGCGTATTGTCACGAGAAAGGATAACAATATGCAAATCTACCAGTCTGCAAATTTAAAACGACTTAAGATAAAGAAAAAAAAATATACGAGTCGAATAGAGATGGAAATACGAGGCCATTTTGAATGAATGAAATGCAAATCAAAAAGTAAAAGGTAACGCCGCAGAAAATTAAATATCATTTGAATAGCGTGAATAGTAATGGAATGATAAAACTCATTGATTAAAGAAAAATGTTGATAATGATAAGTGTTGAATACTTTTAGCAAAAAAAAACAAGTAGAACGAAATATGCTTAATAGACTGTTTAGTTGAGATTGGTGATTTTAAATGTCAAGTAGCTGGCTTTTCAAAACCTTGCGTAATTATCTTGTGCAGAATGTCTGACTCTGCAGCAGCGCCGTAGGTGTCTGTTTCCGCATTTACATATGGATCTTACGACAGGATATTATTGCAAGATCCAACTCGAAATCTTGCAGCAGATTTGATGCAGAAACTGGCATCAAAGAAATCAGCAGACTTTCAGCAGAAATATCAAAGGCATTGACTTCTTCCATACATTCCTGTAGCTCAATAAAAACAATCAGCTGAAGAAATGATGCCTTTCATATTTCTGCTGATGGTCTGCTAATTTTTTCGCCAGCTTCTTCCTTAAATCTACAGCTAGGTTTAGAGTTAGATCCTACCGTAATATTCTGTCGCAAGATCCGTACGTAAATGCGGAAGCAGACACCTATGGTGCTGTCGATGATGTCTGCAGTTCTTTCATAAGATAATCAAAAGATTTTGTAATGCCTTTGAAGAATGCTGTCTTGCAAATAGGTAGCCACCTGGTGGCTAACTGATGAATGCACTCATGACGCCACGCGTTCATAACCTCATCTCTGATCATAAAAGTATCGTATTAACGTCATGTGATATAAGTACTATTGATTATTATAAAAAATACGCATTTCCACAATTGTGTAATATTATTAGTCCAATTTCTAAACAGTATTTAAAATAACTGCGAAAAGTATCTTTCCAAAGCAACTATCTCAGATATCGTTAATCAACTATCTAGATAATTTCTCCAGTTATCAAATGAGGTAGTTAATTCAGGGGATTTAGTATCATTCCTACAGCTATAAACTTTTTTCAGTATAGCATTATTCCAAGGCCATCAACTTCGTCTAGGATTTAAAAATATTTCTTTTTCTAAAATAAAATAAATCAAAGAATCATTACTGACATTTCCAATTCGGTCTGAAGCAAGTTGGACATCTTATTTATTTCCTAAAAATAGACTGTGTTTATTCCTATAACTGGATCATCATCCAATGATTTATATCATTGGTTTCCCAAGAAGTCGTGCTATACTTTGCCATTGACAATCTAGTAAACTCATATGCAATAAATTGTTAGACTTGTTTCAAGATTCTTTCTTCTTTTATCTTCTCGTCTGAGGTGTCTAGAATGGACCCTAGAAATGAGGGTGAAAATATAAATGAGAGGCAAGAAGGTTGCCAACATTTCCCATGCATCGATATGAATATAAATAACGTTAGCTACCCTGGAAGTCTATGAATACTTTTCCCACGAAACTCTGGATTATTTGTCAACATTGGCAGCTCTGTAAACTAATTTTATATCATCTGCAGCAAAAGGACAATTAATCTATTCAAATCTTTTCATTATTTCTTTCTTTTTTTTTTGTTAAATAAATTTTGATTGTCATTCAGAGAATTCTTCTTCCAAAGACTTCAGCAGTTTAAAGAGCTAAAGAGCATGGTATAAAAGAAGGTCTGCTAAGATCATGAGACGAGAATAAGTATCGTAGCTCTAAAGCAAACAGTGTTACGCTACAATGAAACGCAATTTCCTGGCACTACTTGGAGATATCACCGTCTCTCTATGCTGTTCTCATTCGTCTTAATGTTTCAAGCACCTTCAATCATTGATTCTCAGTATGTTAAACAATTTCACTTGCATTTCGTCTTATCAATAGTATATTTCATTTATTTTTAGAGCTTGGAATAATTTTTTCAATCATTGGATGCTCACATATTGAGCTGTACTATTTAGAAAAATTCTGCTAGCTTTATTGCACCTAGAGTCATGCCTTCATGGGTCAGCACGATGAAGAATGATGTTTGAGATCAAATAGAATAGAGTGAATAGAAGAAGAGAGATGTAGATTTAATAGATGAATTGATTATAAGCAGAAAAGTAAGAACAAAATGTGCAGTTTGATGCAAATGATTTTGTTTTAAGTGAAAACTTCTTTAGGTGTGGTGAAAGATTTTTAGTAGGGTATGAACTAGTGAGTTGGCTGCATCACCAACATGTCCAATGATCGAAAATGCACTACGACTAAATATAAAACGACGATTGATCCAGTTTTTACACCATATTTACATCAATTCCAATCATAAATTTTCGTTTGTTACTTCAGTTACCCTAGACCTATCGTATCATTTTTACAATGTAATCAAATTATTCAAAGTACAAATGATTGAAGTATTGTTGAAGTTAATGATAATAATGATGATTGATATTTATGTTAATACCAACTGTATATATAAATAATATTAGTGTATATCAACTATTATTTAAATAAAGTAGCATTAATACTTTGTACTGAGTCTGCGAAATCTATGGTGTATTTTAATTAATAAATAAACTATATAAAAATGAATAGAATAATTACTTGGAGTCTCGATAGATGTTAAAACTAGACTAATATCAATAAGTTTCATTTACAAATAATCGATTTTCAATTTTTGGTACTACAATTAATTTAAAAATTCAAACAAACCATTGCTATTTTATAGTTTCAAGTTTTCACTTCTATCACCAGTCCCTGACAATTTTTCGTAAATCAGCGCACCTTTTTCAATGAAAGCACACTCTTTATTTCATCAGTACTGAATATTTGTGTGTGTGTGTGTGTGGCTAAGAATTTACTCAGATTAATTTTGTGTGACTTATTGAAATCAATTATGTTTTGTACAAACACCAAAGTGTGTCTAGCAAATTATCCTTTCACTTTTCTATCAATTCAACGAAGACTTAATAATCCTAGGTATTTAAAAAATTTTAATTGTTTTATTCTCAATAAATCTGATGAAACAAGCAAGTCTCAACAAAGAGTAAGACATATCACTTTTTTAATTTGTTCCGACAGAAGATGAAATAAAATAAAATCCCTTATATTATGAAGCTTTGCACTTTGCCATTGTTGTCCAATTGTTTCTAGACGTTTTTATGAAAGGAAAAATACGGGCTTTGATCAGTCCGATTGCTGAGCGTACAAGTGTCCAGCTGAGCACTGCTAAGGCAACAAGAAGGATAAAGAAAAATAAGAAAATGTCGAGTAACTCCACTTTGTACCAAGGTAAGTCTCGAGAACGTGTACGAAGATGAGCACCGCCTTTATGTCGGATTATATGTTCAATCCACCAAATTGATTCGTTCATTGGATGCAGTGGTCTATCATGTAGCAGTTTTCGTAGTTTTATCATATTCTTTTTATAGCTAAAATTTATTCAAAACCACTGTTATCATTGATCTTCTTTTCATTAAACTATCAAAAGAATAAAACAGTCTTACTTACCAAGGGTCTGATATGATTTCGTTGATGGCATTTTTGATGATGTTGGCATCAACCTTATGAATCTCCAACATTTTTCCTGCTCCTTTCAGAACCAGGATCTTCATGTTGTGCATCTGGTCACTAATAACAGGAAATCCTAGAACAGGGACACTATTCTCTATGGCTTCTTCAGTGCTTTGAAGTCCACCCTGGTATATAAAAAGCTTCAGGTTTGGATGAGCTAGAAAATACATTAACTTTCAGAATAATAAATTTTCTTCAATGTTATTTTGTTGTTTAATTTACCTAAAATTTCATATTGAGGCATCCATGGACGAATGTGCACATTATCTGGCTTCTGGGCTAGTTTATCAGCCTCGAACTTCCATACAATTTGATAAGGTAGCTCAGAGAAAGCTTCGATAAAGCTGTTCAGAATTTTCCCATCGAGTTGAGTGCTTTTCACATTGGAACCAAGACTAAAATAAATAAATCCACGCTCAGCATTATCTAAAATTTTTTTCAAATCCTAGAAACCATAAGACATCAATAAATAAATGTTTCTAATTCATTCCAAGCTTTTTAGAGACTAGAAAAGAATTTTTTCTTACCGGTGGAAGTGTTTTTTCTGCTTTAATATGACGGAGGCCACCAATCTGCAGGATACCAGGGACTGAAGTCCTTGGGAAGTTGAAAAAAAGACGAGAGTTTGTGAATATCATGCTCAAACGATTGATCAGTTCATCAACAGGTGGAGCAGCATCTCCAAAATGCTTCTTCAAGACCCGACTTTGAATAGGCAGATTCTTATATTTATAATAATACATTTGCTTCACTGTCCAGAAGAGGTTGATAATACGTTCTTTGAAGCTCATTTGATCAGTGAATCCTGATAGCATTTCAGGGAAGCAAGCAGTGAGATATGGATTCCCTGGAACCAAGTAACATTAATTAAATATAAATAAATAAGTGATAAATACAACAATGAATACTCACCCATGATGTAATTATGGATCGCTTGTGTAGGCAAAGATGAAACTCCAATCATTGGAACATCTAGAACATCAGCCAAGTAATACAAAGAGTCCCAGTACATTGCTGACACCAGGATGACATCAAACCTCTGATTCTTTTTCTCTAAAATAATCTTCTTCATTTCTGGAGTTGAGTATGTGTAGTCGGTGATGATTCGTCCCAATTCCAAGAATAATTCAGCAAATCTCCAAAATCCTATTTTGGAAACCGCATAAAAATTCAATATCCTAGCATGCTCTTTGTACATTGACTTCAATGACACTTCAGAGTAATTTGCTAAATTGCGGTTGACTGGATCAGTGGTGAAAACGACCAACTCGTGGCCTCTTTCTTGGAGTGCTAGGCACAATTCATTGCTTACAACCTAGAAATATTGAATATATTAATAGAAAAAATGTATTTTCAATAACATGAGCAAGATGATGGAAATTTTATCATGAGTTGTTGATAGAAGTGCTGTTGAGTTTTAATATAAATAAATGAAATTCTTTGGGTAATTGAAATTAAGTACCTGCTGACTGTGAGAAGGATAAGGAAATATGGCTAAAATCCTAGCAGCTTTGGTGAAACATCCAGAATTAAATATCAAGTGGAAGAAGAATATTGAAAATAGCATTTTTTTTTTTGGTGGAATAAATAAAGTGTTGTTAAACAGTGAATGAAAAAAAACTGAATGATGGTTTATTTTAGTTGAAAAATAAATTATACTTACAATTAGATAAAAAGCATTGCATTACAATCGAGTGTTTTCATGAATTATCTTGCTTGATAGCAGGTCATGAAAATACTAGTGATTTACATAATTGCATAGTTTATTTAAATTACTTTTTAAATTAAATCAGTAATCGAGTTTAATTATTTCTAGAGGGTCAGAGGAAATTTTTAGTTAACAATTAACTTAATTATTCACGAAATTGATGATCAATATTCGGGGGGAAATAAAAATAATATTATCAACAATTTTATTTCAATAGAAGAATCTCAAAGCTTGAAATTAAGATAGGAAAAAATTTTAAATCAATTCAACCTCATTCCCACAACAAAGACCATATGAAAAAGTACCCTTTAAAAGTTTGTGATGCGTGCAAATGGTTGCGCAACAGTAAAATTACGCGTCAGTACACTCGACTGCATCCACTAGAGGCGCTGATGCAGTGACGATTCCCGCCAACCATCACTATTCCATGTCACACATGGCAGGTGTACAGTGTGGGATCATTTAGGCCAATGATACTTCAATGATAACGATTACGTCGCCTTTGCAAATGCTACCTGTCAATGTGAATGATACTGGCTAGACACCTGTATAATAAACAGGTCATAAATAATTATAGACTTGATGCTCAATGAAATTATTTAACAACTACGGATCATCAATCAAGGTAAGACACTTAGGATTGTTTTAATATCGATTCAAGCTTGATAACTTCATTAATTACTTTTTTTTATTCTAAAAAGTGGTATCATTGCCTCGGAATTCTTTAGATGTAAACAACAAATGATGTAAGATATAAATAACAAATTATTATATAACATAACCTAAGTTAACATCCTACACTTTTCGCCCCTCTTAACTATCGATTTTTATGAAATCATAGATAACAATTGTTAAATTTGATTATATAATTACTTAAAAATTGATGGTTAAGAGGGGTGGAAGGGGCCGGGGAGGGAGAGGGGAGTGTTAAAACTTTAGACCAACTTTGTACATTGTCCTATTCTGTCCTTCTTTTATTCCTTTCAACGTTTAATTTAAATATTACAATCACTGAACAATTACAATTATTTGATTCTTCGAACGCAAAAAAGTACCTTAAAGGATGGTTTCCACGCCCTATATATATATATATATATTCTTGTTTAGCATAATTTTCTCTATAACATACTAAAATTTCAACGAAATCGGAGGGGTACAGGTTAAACTAGATAATTACCGAACAAATTATCTCCTTATCTATTAAAACTCATGACTCACTGTCAGACAAAGAGATACAATTACAGAAACCGTTCGTGTGAATATAATTAAATATTTATAATATTTTTTTTTATAAAATCATAGAGATTACAATTCAATAATGATAATAACAAAAAAAAATTTTAAATGACTATAACAAATACGAAAAAAAAAAAAATTATTAAAGAATGCAAAATTAAATCGACCAATCAAAAAAGGGTATCTATTTTATTCGTGCACTGATTGGTCAATTTTATTTTTAAATTTTCGAAATGAATAAAAATAAAAATTAAATAATTTTTTACATTGTTGACTTGAGACAGTGCTCTCGGAGAGCGCACGTTATATTTCTAGTTTATTAATTAATAATATCCATTTCCGCTCTCTTATTCATCACAAATAATGTCCTGTTCAAACTTACGAACCTTCCAAAGTTTTTCCACCCTTGAAGAAATGACTTTATTACCATAAAATTCAGGGTAATTTTTACTATACATTTCTCTGCGTGTATGCTCCAATGGGAAGTTTATCATATAGGCACTCGAAAGTGCGTCCCATGATATTTTTTCCGATAAAAATCTCCAGGCAAAGATAAAAATGAGGAAAGTATTTTTTACAATTACATTACTGTCTATTTGTGAAGCTCCAAGTCTGTGATTTAGGGAGGGAACCGAGGACCGACGCCTCATCCGTCCTCATTGACCGAGAAGGAAAACCAGGAGCGGAAGACCGAAGCGCCTCTAACGATATTATTACGCGGTTCATTTAAGTTAGATAACAACAACTCCATGGTCGGGACTTGGGTGGAATCAAGGTGGTAGTACCAGCCGCCATGGTACAATATCCGCTACATCTCTCGCCTCCAGCCTAATTACTTTCCAGCCTCTAGTACCTCGGCCGAATCCCACGATTCACCCCTCGGGCCACCGACCATTCTATTTTCCTCCCCCGTTACTCTTTCCATTTGCTTCGACTTCCAGCCATGGTAGAACCGTAGTCTATCGCAAGAACGATAGCACCTTTTATTTTATTTCTTATACTCCAGTTTAATTAGTTCCTTGATAATACTTCCTATCTTTCCTTTTCAGGGAAAGCTTCCCTCCTACTGATACGCACCGAAAATAGACCGTTCGAGGGCTGATGACTATCAGGTAGCTTTTTTAAATCAATTTTTTTACCTTTTTTTATGTATTTATCCTATTTTATTTTATTCTTTTAAATTAGTTCATTTGTTACAGAAATGCAGACTTTGATTAAAATATGTTCAATCCTAAGCTCCAGTAATGAAATTAAAGAGAAATGGAAAATATATTTTAATAAAATCGCAACAATTTTCTATTGTTCCCAAGGATTATGAAATGGAATATTGTACCTTTACAAATCAGGATAGCAGACGTCAAGCTGAATAATAAAGGAAATAAGAAATTGAAGTATTTCATTTATCTCTGAGCGGATTTAGTCCTTTTTATAGGTATTGATATCTAATAATTGTATTTTTCATTCATAAATATTAATATTTAATCAATTTATTTAAATATCAATCATCATTTTCATCAGCATTATATAAAATAATTTATTTAATTAATTTTGTTGATTTCCCTGTGGAAGCTTCCTTGATGATGCTTCGAAAGATAATGAAATTAATAAAAATTTTATCAATGCTATTTAATGAGATGAAGAGGATATTTTTATTTAAGTAAAAATAAAAATCCATTTACTTCATCACATTTACGGTCATTGTCAACCTCTTAGAATCGAGCACAAAACATCCCACTTTTTCTACAAGTTGATCTATGGTATCAATTTAGTCTACTACAAATTCTGGCTTGATGTGTTGAAAATCGTTATTTATTGCATCTAAGCCTCTTTTCTTCTCCTCCTTTACTCTCTCTCTTTTTTTTTACTTTTCTCTTGACGGTCTCTATCGAGCAAATTACTGTAATGCATCATAAATTATTTATTTTCACCAACAATTCATCAAATTTTCAATTCAACTTTATGACAATTTTATTGATTTTTTTCTTTTTTTTCCACAAAAATATTTATTTCATCCTCTCAAATTATCTTTTTTATCATTCTCAAGTAGAAAAGATGAAAAAAAAATATTTTTTCTTCAACATCTTAAAATAATTAAAGGTACAAATTAAGTAGTACAACTCAATATTCCGTCAGACATTAAATACATTCAAGATATCTAATGTAAGTAATTTGAAAAAAATATTTCTTCAATGATGATGAACAAAAAAAAAATGTCTATGATAACACTGTTAAAGATATAAAATTTTTTCTGCAATACGTTATCATCAGCTTCCGTTCTTTTGCTCCTCAATGTTATTTACACGCTTCTCTTCTCTTTCCCGAGCATTCGTTCGTTCTATCTAAGACCAGGAATTTTTTTTTTCTTTTTTATTTCTTCTCGTCTGATTTTCTTTAGAGATGACGACAACGTGGAAGTTACTAGGAGACATAGATCTTGACAAATTGCATTCACTATGGTATATAGAGGATAGGATTTTAGATATATATCTTTAGAATGTATATCATCGATAGTGTATTGACGTGCAAATTGAAACATTCCACGTGTAATAATAGCAGCAAAAACTGAATAAAATTCTATCTCGTATTTTTTATCATCTATTCTGTGCTCCTAGAAGATGTATAAAGATGAAACATAGGAGTTTCTAAAGTGATAAAAGTGATTATTATATTGTAAGATTAGGATTGGATAGTAGGTTAAAAAATGATTTGAATGAACGAAAAGTTTATTTAAATGATAACAAAGTATTGCTGACAACAAATTCCGTGGTTTATCAATCGACATATGGAGCTCATCTCCTTGAGCTTAACTCAAAGTCAACTCTAATAGTTGAAGGTACAATCTACACTACGTGACATAAATGGCGTCTTAATTTGGTATAGGAGGGTATAGGGAATCGCATGTATAACCTCAAAAAAAAACTTACAAAATCGGACACAAAATATGTGAATATTGCCATCTATGAATTATTTGACTAACGACAGTTTGTTAGTTAACGACGATTGCTTGACGATTAGGCTGTTTATAGCAACGAGAGAAAAGTTTGTTCATCTCCAGTTTCTGACTGAGACTTGAGCTGACCGGACATTTTCCTCATCTTTAAGATCTTGCAATTGATTCAATAAACGATTTCATTCTTTCATAATATTTCTTGAAGTTATTATTTTGCCCTATTTTACAATATCTATCCCTTCTCTGAAACTTGATTGAAATTAATTGAAAAAATTAGTGATGCATCATATTTAAAAAACAGTCGATTATTTATATGATTATTGAACCAATTTTGTACAAAAAAAGGGGGGGGGGCGATAGTATGAAAGTACCATTACTTTTATTACTATTGTAATATCTATCTATTGATGGATTGACAAACGACAGAATTTGTTGATAGCAACGCGAGATTGTTTGTTTAAGGCTGGGCTTTACTACCCTCAAATCACCTCAAATTTTTCTCGTCAAACTGTGCATTTTTTATTTGTTTTTTTCATGTAAAAAATATTCAGGAATATATAGAAAAGTGGCATACACATCGGAAAACAAAGATTTTTCGTACCAGTGTAATAATAATCGTAGAATAAATAACTTTTCAGTGAAGGGCTCATGACAAGTGCATCCGCCATGACACCTCAAAATTCACTGAACAGTTATTTATTCTA